GTTAATTAACTGGATTTATAATCCAACTCAAACATTGTAACTCCGGATGGCAAGAGTTAGAAAGATGCAATTATTAAACTGTATTATTTGTTTTAATTGTTTTAATTTTAATTATTATTACATTGTTAAATTGTATCTTATTTTTCTCCCAATGTTATATTGTAAATTGGAAAAAAAAAAGATACCTGGTGACTCCATGGACATGTTTATATAAGTTTTCCAAGATCAGCCAAATTTAGCTAGGTAAAAAGAAGCAGTCAGAACCAAGTTCAAATCACTTCATGGGCACGCTCAATTATTTTGATTTGCCATTGTCTTCTGCAGTTTTTTTAATCTATTATTCCTAGTATTTCCATATTGTCTCTCATCTAAGTACAGTGAAGCCTCATCCTTAGCTTTTTGAGTTCAACTGAAATTGGCTAAATACTGTCATTTTCCAAGTACTATAATAAATCCTCAAAGAAATGTCAAATTGACAAGTAGTAACTCAGGACTTACCAAAGAGTTGTCCTCTCCTGTTTCTCTATTATATAACTCTTTTCCCCTGACTGATAAAGATGTCACCATTAGCTTTTGTTGCCTATACTTACTGTATTTTATAGAATTAGTCCAGTTTTCTGCATTTAAACGAGACATGGATAATAAGTTAAACCAGGCTAAAACATATATGAGTAGTACTTTGTTGCATCATATGAACATAAATAATTAATGCAGAGAGATTGAATATGAACCCTCTTCACAGGGATAGGGCGTAAGTAACAAAGTTACAAGAGCTTAATTAAGAGCTTAATTAATTAAGAGCCAGAACACAGATTAGTGAGGATCTGGAAGATAGGCAGTTTAAAACTGTGATAGATGATAGATAGATAGATAGATAGATAGATAGATAGATAGATAGATAGATAGACAGACAGATAGACAGATAGACAGACAGACAGATAAAGCTATGCCTTAAAATTCCTCCTTAGTTAATTTCAGTAATCAAAACATGTGAAATGTTTTCTGTATAAGAAATGTTTTCTGTTTAAGGGGCAGCTGCAGAACGCAAGGGCAAATCAATATAATATAGACAGAATAGCTATTTTTCCATTCTAAAATCAACTATAAAATCAAAATCCAATTTTCTAAGAGTAAACTTGCTTCTAATGGATGCAAGCTAATAGCTATTCTAAAATGCTACATTCAGAGTTAATTATGCTAATTTCATAACCATCAGATAACAATATCATAATGTACTCCCAAAATAGGTAGTGAAGCTGCAGATCCCCAGCGAATGAGGAAGCACATCTGGAAGGTTCCAGGTCCTTCAAGCCACCTGCCTTCCCTTTTAGGATGTTTTCATAGCATGAACAGTATTGTGCAGTGTTCTTCTCATCCTTTCCTTTAAATTTCTCCCAGTTTGTTGTAAACATAATATGTACCAAAACACTTATGTGACGTGAGTTTCTCACCACAAGACCTACTGACCACATAAAGCCCTTATAAGCAGAAGAACACCAACACTGATATTCCCTAAATTCTGATGAAGATGTTATCTAGTCCAGTAATGAAATGTTCGGAAACCAACCCACAAGCTTGGAGAACAAACCTGTATCCTAGTAATACACACACACACACACACACACACACA